TTAAGATTTTGTTGTTTAAACAAAACTTTAAAAAAAAAATCAGATCAATGTTTCTTGCTTGTGTGGGTTTGAGAGATTTAAGCAAAAACGTTAACAAATTTTACAAACATGAAAATTTAGATAACATTTAAGTCAGACGCAAGCAAACAATAGAACAAATACTGACAGGACATATGCAAAAGGCTTTTCGTTTTACATTGTCTCTATATAGGATTATTTAAAAAAAAAAAAAAAAAAAAAGGGGAAAGAGGAGTAAAGCTGTAGCTTCAAGCAAAAATGCAACCGATTTTTCTTACACTGGGGGCAGATGATTTTTTATTGTTGCCTTTATTAATCAGTCAATCATTTATTCATTTTTTTTTTCTGAAATTGTTAGTCAAATGCTTTCTATAAATACTGGTGTACAAGTTAACTTCATGTATAGTGCAACCACTGAATTTTTTGCATGAAATTTAAACCCGCCAGAAAAGGATTTACCTTTGTATAGTGCAACCGGTTACCAAAAATGCAGAATTAACATCTTCAAAAAAAAAAAAAAAAAAAAAAAAAGAAAGTGTAACTCCCTATATTTTGCATAAAAAAACTGATGATAAAAACTATGCTTGATTATATACAGTAACCAAATACCTGGATTTTTAAAAAAATTTTTTTATTTTATTTAAAAACACAAAAATTAATGCCTGCTGACAGAGACCAAAAGTTTTATTGAAGAAAATGTGCCCCTTGATAAGAATTCAACCTCTATTCCCTTTTAAATTGAGATATCACCTTCCAGGTATGACAAGTCATTACAGCAAAGTAAGGGTCAATTATCCTATTTAAGAAATGCACTCCTATTGTTGGGACCTTTTGAAGTCTATATCTTAACTTTTTGTCTCCGAAATGTAAACAAAGCAATTTCTAAGCAATCAATAAAGTTTGTAATCCAACATTATTTCATAAATTCAGCATGTTTAGTGGACCCTTGTATTTGATTAGATAGATCTGCTTATTTTTTAAGCACTGAAATTAATATCTACCCACCAAGACAGATTTTCTTTAGCAAAAAATAACTTGATTTCTAGGCCGGTAGGTATAAATTTCACCATTAAAAAAAAAAAAAAAAAAAAGGATAGAGAGAGAGAAAGGGGAGGGAAGAAAGGGAGGGAGAAAGTTGTTGATAGAAACACATGTTTATAGCAATAAATAATGTCAGATTAAAAGATCCATTAACAGCTTAAAAACGACTTTGATCGTGTCCATTTCCTAATTAGGATTGCACCCCCCGCCCCCATGTCTTCTAAAGTTTACTTCAACTCTGTATTAAAATAGCATCAATGCCAAAATTGTATTTACTATTTTTTTTTTTTTTTATCATAGCAGGAGTGGATAGGTTCATTTATCATCCAGTTTACACTCCTCTCTGGTCTTTAGAACAAGAATCAAAGTTTATCCCTTGTTCAGGGTTGGGTTTCCAGTTCCTACTAAAGTCATTTTATTCTCTGATTACCAGTAGCCCCCCTTGCATTTTAGTGGCATTATTGCCTTGCTTGGGGTGAATTGATAAAAAAAAAAAAAAAAAAAATAAATAAATAAATAAAAGCCTAAGAAACTCACACGACTGATACAGACCAAGATATTCAAAGTGTTCAGAATTTATCAAAACAACATTCAACAGTAAGTAAATATCTACTTTAAGCTCAGGGGATAGTCTCATCTGACACAAGGGCAGCATTTCAGAGTGTGTGTGTAAGTATATAGAAAAATAGGAAAGAACCATTAGGTTAATAATCTAAAGTTCTTTAGTATTTTTGTTTTTAAAAAAAAAAAAAAACAGTGCTAGATACAACAGTAGAGCATTATATATATATATATATATATATATATATATAATGATAGGCAATTTGAAAATGAAGGACTAGTTCTGCAGGGAGGAGGACAATCTAATGAGAAATGCTGTTAATTTAAATAATACAATAAATTTCCTTATTTTATTCAAATCAAGATGTCATTGGTTAATGACCATATTATAACAAGGTCATTCCATACATGAAAGGTGAATATGAATAAAGATTTTGTTGAACACCGATTTAATATGACCAGATCTTTTTTTGGGTGACATTTTATAGCCCAAAAGTCATGCTGTATTCAGACGTTTTCTATTATCGCCAGAAAAGCACGACTTGATGAACTTGTAAAGGAAATATTCAAAATGCTAAATAAAACCTCATAAAATCTTATTTTTATTCTAAATAATTATATGCCTAGCATTAAGGCAATGTGAATAAACACTGAAATACTAACATCAACCGATGAGAATTTTCTAAAAAAAAAAAAAAAAAAAAAAAAAAAAAATACTTTTATCTTCTGTTAATATGCAATTTTTTTTTTTTTTTACTTTTCTTTTAACCAAGCTAGTGTCACCTTTGCAAGTGTGTGTCAATTGCTACTTGGCTTCCACTATAATAGCATTGTGATAGACTAAAAGTTAATAATGGTAAAATGAGCTGTATCCTATACAGGAAATTCATTGACCACACAGCAAGTGTTATGGCTGGTTGGAATTTATAAAATCATCTTATTAAAACAGGGTTTTCTTTTATTCAGGAAATTAAAGACTTCTCAAATCCACTAAATGCTATAGCTCTTTCTAATACAGATGGGAGTTTCCTTCCAATGCTTTTGTTTACAGCTAATGTGGAAAGTTAACAGCTTGATTATATCATTATTTCCTCTTCTAATGAGATGTGTTATGATAAAAGAGCTCAAGTGATGTGGGCTTTCTTACTTAGTAAACAACTTAATGATTTTGTAATGCCAGTATGTAGGGTCGGATGAAGAAGCACCTTTAGAATTTATAGGATGAATTCATTCAAAGTCATTTATAACCACTGATCTAAGAGAATGGTTGTAGATAGATTTCTGAAGAATTTATTATTCCATTTTTGAGATGAGTGTTTGTCAGCATACTTTAATTATTTTGAATTATTGTTTTCAATTTGGTTGATAGACATCATTTTGACCTTCTGGTCATTATCAGGCGTCCATTGTTTTGGCTGATGTGGGATATCAGTTGATTGTGTTATTAAAACACCTAATGTATATTTCTGATGGATTGGTTTTCTACAGCTTAACAACCCTTTGCTGGTTATTTAAAGCCAGAAAATATCTTTAGATTGTAAGAATGATTTTTTTTTAGGATCATAATGGTTTACTGATACAAGTCTTACAAATTAACCTATAGCTGGGGTGGGTGAGAGGTGGATTCATACCTCTCTCAAGGATATTTGCCCATAAGTGAATATAACAAACCCAATCGGAATTGGAACTCAGCTCACCAATTAACAATTCCGAGCCATTATCCATTACTGCACCACCTACACATTCAAGCTTACAGAACCTGGTATTCCCAAGTGGTCAATCATCTAGATACTGACCAAGCTTGACATTGCTTAACTTCAACATGATGCACCCATAAGCCCTATATTTCTGAATAAGTTGAACACCATGCTTGGTATTCATATGATCATCTGCATTTGACAAATATGTGGCTTGAGTTTTCCAGTCAATATTTTGGCTTTGTGACATCTTACTGTATTGAACCAAAATACTCCCTAGTGCAACCTATTCAGTGTTCAAATACTTTATTTCCTGTACTAAATTTGCTGTAACTGATACAGCCCAAGAGATTTGAAGTGTTCAGTATTTATCAAAACAACATTCAACAGTGAGTAAATATCTATTTTAAGTTAAGGGGGGATAGTCTCATTTGAGCGAAAGGACATCGGGCAGTCCCACTCATTTAACTCTGGGTAGTTTCAGGTTCTTTTGAACTGTCTTGAAAGTATTTTTCGAATTTCCATCATGATAGTTGCCAACTATCCTACTAATCTCGGTATTTAGCCTTGGATGGGGGGGGGGGGCATACCACTAAACTTAGGCTACATTTCCAAGCAACCCAACTCGTCAATATGCGAGTAGTGTAATGGTTAGCAACCCAGAAAGGGAAGTTGGCAAACAGAGTTCCAGTGGGGTTCATTACATTCACTTTCTTCTCCCTCCAGTTCTTGGTTTGAATAGCAGGGCAATCTGACTCTTTAGCCTTGGTTGGCAACCAGTCTAGAGATGGTAACTCAATAAAAACCACCCACTCATGGAAATGTGCCCCCCAATTCCCCAATGCACAATGACTGAAATGAGGTTCACAATCTGTCGCAAATAGAGACAGTGTCTATTTTTAAATAGCTTATTTTACTTTATTCTTGAAATTTTCTATAATTTTAATGTTTTTTTTTTGTTTTTTTTTTTTTTCAATTAAAAATAAAATTGAGTTGGGAACCAGGAGTCCTTTTTCTTTGGTCATTGTTGATATATTGGAAATATCTCTATTCTTAAGGAAAAGGCCTAAAAATACAAAGCATGCTTAAAAGAGTATGAGGTAGAGAGAGAGAAAGAAAGAGAATGTATGTGTTTACAAAGAAAGAGAAGGAGGGGGATTAAGCAGGTTATCACACCTCATCTTCACCACCTCCATTCTCTCCATCAACCCAGCCACCAGATGGAAAAGCCACAACAGCAAACCCCACCCTCACCTGGCAGGGAGCAAAGAAATGCGAGAAAGTGGGAACTAGAGCAAAGATACAAGCAATAACAACAGAACAATAAAGACAACAGTGAGTGAGAAATGTGGTGGGAGGTAGTGATAGTGGTGGTGGTGGTGGTAATAGTAAATAGGGGTGGGTGGGAAGGGGGCTAGCAGCTGTTGGGTAGGAGGGGACAGTGGGAAATAAAAAAACATCAAAAATACCTCTTCTTCGTCCATAGGCCCGGGCTGCAGTAAGTTAAGTAGAAATGTAAACACAAGGGTTAGAAATAATAACAGAAAGCTGTACACTGTTTAGCAAGGGTAAAAATCCACCAGGATACAACAGGTGAAAATATATGGCTGGAATCAAAGAATGGAGGATAGATGTTCAGTGTATGCGGTTGTGGAGGGCAGGGAAGGGGGTGGGGGGTCACCCTTATGATCTATTGTTGAAATGGACAAACAGATTTGCAAGTTGGTGGGGAGGGTAGAGGAAGAGGAGGTTCTTGTTGGACAATTGAACTTGCAAGTGTTGGGAGATAAAGGAAGTGGCTAGTCGACAACCAGACTTGCTAGGCAGGAGGAGGGAGGGAGGTGCTGGACAAACAGACTTGCAAGAGGGTGGGGAAAGGACGAGGGTGCTGGGCAAATGGACTTGGAAATATGAAGAGTGGAGCTGGAAATCACACTTGGATAAAAAGAATGACAAAGTTAGAAAAATATCTTAAACCTGAAGCTAATCCAGAGACAAGATAAAAGAGTAAAGCTAGATGCAAGGTCAAATGGGAAACATTTTATAGTGTCAAAACCAGGATTAGCCTCCAATACAATAAGAGTTTTGCTAATACAGAATGTGAGAAGCAACAATTTGAGCCCCAAAAATTAAAAAGAATTAAATTATAATCAAATATGAAATTAACTATTATTTTCAATAAAGCAGTGAAAGCAGTGAAAAAAAAAAAAAAAAAAAAAAAAAAGAAAAGACAAGCCTTACAAAGAAAGTGGAAATTTTCTGACTTGCCATAAATCATAGTTTAGATTCCTCTCATTTCACTCAGGGTTGCTAGAATGGGTGACATTCGAAAATCCACCACAATAAAAGTTTGAATTTCACAACTTGTGACTTTTGGGCTTATTTAAAATAAACTGGGAAAACTTGGGTTACTAATGATTAGTCATTTCAAAATTTAGTTGTGCTGGGATTTCAATAGCTGCCCAATCTGGTAAACATTCTCTTCCTATGAATTTGTGGAAACTAACTGATGGTGAGCCAAATTTTAACTAAGAATGTAGATTTACCCAACACTAAGATTGGAAAGTTTGTACAAAAATGAAAAAAAAAAACCATTATAAAGAGTAAGTACTTTTAACTAAGAATGTAGATTTGCCGAAGACTAAAGCTGTGAAAACTTAAAAGTTCTATGAAAAGTGGACATCATGGCTCTTCAGATTTAGAAACCTGGATTGGAAGGAAGATGAGTATGTGCATCAGATTTTATAAAGAAAAAAGTCAATCAAACAAAATATTGAGCTTAACATAAGAAAATATAAACTTCTTGTTGGATATTTCAAATGTTGCTGCGCCAAGAAAACAAAAGGAAATATATGGTTAATATAAAGCTTTTTTTTCTTTCTTTTTTTCAACTAAATGATTAACTATGATTTCTGGACAAGATAACTGTACTCGGCTAATATAACATTATCTTCTAAGATTTATATGTATTTAGCCTTTCCTTTAATTATCACAACTTTTGGAGTCAAGGGAGATATGCATTCAGCTTCTAATGGTTCCTGTTATTATGTAATGTTGTTTGGAAAATAATGTCCAATTTTAGAATAAACCTTTGAAATGTGCTCTAACAGATTATAGTAATGTCACAAAAATATATTACTCATTCCTAATGATTGTTTTGTTAATTTTATATCAATTCGTTTCAGAATTTAACTTGAAACCTTATAATCTTGTTTTTGCATGGGGTGAAGGATCCACTTGTGATCAGACGGTACAGTGCTGTTTACTGAAATCCCAGAGTGGGGATACTAGTCTTGAAGATCAAGGTGGTAAAGTTTGTCCGTCCATGAAGGACAATCAACATTCGGAAACACTAGTTCATCAAAAACCATGCCAATGTCTCAGAGAAAAATTTCAGATAATGGGTGTCAGCATTTCAACAATATTGTATCGTCTCAAAGAAATTGGCAAGCCGAGGAACTTTGTGAAAGCCAAAGAGTTTCAATAATTTTAAGTGTGTTCATTGCTGCATCTGTGAAATTCAAATCATCTATTTCTTGATCAAATAGTAACTTTTGATGAGAAATGGATGCTTTATAACAATCGTAGATGATTAGCCCAATGGCTTGATCCTGACGAAGGACCCAAATACTTTCAAAAACTGAAATTGCACCAGCAGAAGATTATGGTAACTGTCTAGTAATCCGGTGTTGGTGTTATCAATTACAGCTTTCTGGAACTTAACCAGAACATCACAGCTGCACATTCAGTTAGCAAAATGTGACTAGCATTGGTTAATTGACAATGTCCAATTCTGCTTCATAACAATGCTTGACCACATGTTGCCAGGATGACACCGCAGAAGCTCACCGACTTGGGATACAAGACTTTCTTATGTCCACCCTAGTCGCCTGTTCTCCCACCCACTGACTACCACTTTTTCAGACATCTTGACAATTTTTCAAACCAAAAGACATTCCATTGCAAAGTTTCAGAAACTGCATTCAAAGATTTCTTGGCATCCAAACCATTAGTTTTATTGTAAAGTCAAGAATAACCTTGTAATTCGATGGCAGAATTGTAGAGATGTTCAGGTTTCCTATTTTGACCGATTTAAACACTGTTTAAATACATTAATTTAGTAATAAAACTTAATTTTAAAAATCAAACATTTTCCAAACAACTTAAAAAAATAATGTCATGTTTTAAGAGATTACAAAGGTAAGAAAATATCAAACATTCTGATTTACTTGTAGAAGATAGATTAACAAAGTCAATAATTAAATTCCTGCAACAAATTTGTATAAACACTGCAACTCTGGTCCCATAAATAATTTCATGGAGAGGACAAAAAAGAAAAAGAAAAAAAAAAAAAAGGATTGTATGGTGATATCTTTTAAGAGCAATTAATATTAGGAATATCTTTTTTTTTATGCCTTATGTGCAATAAATTCAGAATAAAAACAACAACGATCATAAGATAAGTGTATCAATTACGCGGATGAAGCAATATCTTTATTATTCATATTTAACTATTTATTTTTTTCAGGTTATAACACAGGTGATTTTTGTTCTATGACTTAAGTGATGTGAAATCAAGAAAAAAAAAAAAAAAAAAATACCTGACAAGATTTTAATGTTTATTCCATCTCTACATAACTATGCAGTTACGCGGCCAAACCTACAATAACGATGACATGGAGAGATTGGCTCCTAAAGATAAGAGATGAATGTTAAAATCTCACTGAAGACTTATACTTTTATTTCTGATTAAACTGCTTGCTTAAAGATTGTAAGAGAAAACCAAATTAACAAAAAGTAACCAAGAAAAAAAAAAAAAAAAAAAAGTCAAAACAGCAACAACATGTATTTGTACATTTTTGTCAGTAACATTTTACTGTAATGAATCAAGTGACTTATTTGTTACACCAGTTTTCATGGTGAGATTAACTTTCAAATACAAGTTTCAGCAAAGCACACAGATACTACACTGATCCGAAGCAAAACGTGCCAATCCATACATAAACAATCTCATTTTTTACGGGAACAACTTAAGATTAATATTGTTCTTTCATTCTGGGAACAATGCCAAAATAGAAATTTTTTAATTAAAATTCTATCAGATTTATTCTAAAGGCAAGTGATTTCTTAAAAGAAATTCTTACTTTTCAACAATAGTAGCAGGCTAAATGAAGCGTGTGCATACACAGGAAAATAATTTAAATGGCTTTTTTTTCTCTCTACATTTTTAAAAAAAAAAAAAAAAAAAAATTTTTTTAAAATACTGGTGAATGAAACCTGAATGAAAAATGAAGTACTTAAATTTAAATATTTGTATTATTTATCACAATGTGAAAAATATCAAGATCAAATTGTAAAAACTACTTTTATTTATTAAAAAGAAAAAAATTTCAATTTTGGGTTAAAAAAAATTTAATGAATAATTAAACATTTGTATGTTTTCTGCTTATTAACTAATCTGAAAATACAAAGGCGAATTGAAAAAATTTAATCACAACAAGCAGTTAAATGAATATTTTTTGATAAAGATTACAAAAATCTTGTTGATAGCGAATAGTTGAAATGTGATAATATTTAGAAAATGAATACAGAGTAATTTACTCAGCATGAAAATTATTCAAGAACAATTCCATATAAGATTATTCAAGGTGATTAAACTGGAATATTTGAATGAACTATTGACATGTTTTCTGTTTATCATAAGCAAAATTGAAAGTGCAAAGGAAAATTCAAAAATGATTAACAAGGAAAATTTAGTCAGTGGTAATTGTACATTTTTTTTTTTTTAAATAAAGATTTACAAGATTATTCAAGAACAATCCCGTACAAGATTATTCAAGAACAATCCCGTACAAAATCAATCAAGGTGATTAAATTGGAATATTTACATAAGTTATAGTTTTATTTAAAAAAAAAACAAAAAAAAAAAAAAAAAAAAAACAAATGCAATATAATTTAACCGATTTATTTTTCCATTCATTTTTAAGACTGATATTTAAATTTTTTTTTTTAAGAAAATTTCCTAAATATTCTGATGACGTTTTTATTATGCTAACAACTATAAATGATAAAATTAAAAACACGTTGATTTTGGGACAATTTTTTTTTTCAGGACGTTCAAGTTATTTCTAAATAAGCATCTATGGATACTTATTTATTTTAAAACAGTCGAGATAACAATAATATTAAAAACTTAAAAATGGTGGCAGATTATATGTATTAGGAACTTTAGAATAACACTGAGAAATTTGAGAAAAAGCAACAGAAAGAAAATGAAAGCAAAGATAAGAGAAAACAGTAGCAGTCACAGTTTTGTTTGGTTATAGAAGAGAATGAAACGAAGGCACCATATTCTAAGGTGTATACAGCCACAGGTAATACTGGTTAACCTCCTACCAACACCTCATAGGCTAGTTATGAAGCATGAGAAAGTTATCCTTTAATTAAAGCTTGTTTTGGCTATTCACTGCAACTGATTCTCCACCAGCCATTGCAGTCTTCACCTTGCCACTGGGTCAGCAAATAAAGACCTGATCTGGACTAGGGCAACCCATTACTTACATGAAATCTACCCATATAAATGTTATTTCTTCCTGAAAGGCACCGTCATCTTTTGGGATTGATAGTGAGTGATTGGTTGTAGAAACAGAACAGTGCATCTTTGCAACTTAGAAATAGAAGACGATTATGACTTCCGTCCCATTATAGTGGTTACATTTGCATGCACATTTCATGCACTAAATGTAACAATGATGATATCCTCTCTTTTTTCTTATTCAGAGAACTTGCAAATTTTGCAATGTTCTGGCAAAAAGAAACAACAAATTTGCTTGTGGATAAATACAGCATTTCTTGGTATCAGAGATGCTATTTCCAACTTCAATTAAACAAAGAAATCTTGAAAAATTCGGCCTGTGCACTACAGGTCAAAGTTTATTTTTAATCTGACATTTTTTTTTTTTAAATTTCAAATGTTAAAATGAATATTTTGTATTTGAAATTTATTTATAAATAAAAATGAGAAGTCTGTTTCAAATACAAAGTGTTCACTATAATAACATTTGAAGTTTTTATATGAAGTTAAAACTGAGTAGTGTCCTCAACACAGTGAAACAGCTGAACTGCATAGAATTTCTATGTCTGTATTATTAATGGATCCATCAGAAGGAAGGTAATTTGTGGTGTGTGTGTGTATATATATATATATAATTAAAATTATATATATAAATTAAAATTGGCGCCATGCCTAGAGATTGGAACAACATGACACAAAAACAGCAACTGTCAAAAGAAAAGGAAAAAAAAAAGAGAAAAAGCAAGTGTAAAGTAAAAAAAAAAAAAAGAAAAAGAAAAAAAAAGAAAATACAAATGATCGCGACACCCTACGTGTATGCATATCTGTGTGGATGGGCGTACATGCACGAACACACATCTGCAGAAATAAGCATATGGCTGCACATGCACAAAAAATAGGGAAAATCTTACAATAATAAATGTATAAAAAGAAAAAAAAAAAAAAATATAGGCAGTAAATTGCTGAATTTTATAATAAAAACAAATTAATGTGCACATATAAATATATAAGTGCACCTACGCCAAAATATTTATAAGTTACAAAAAAAAAAAAAAAAAAAAAATCCCCCAAAAGATATTCAAAGTCAAATTTCAGTTTTCCTAATATAAAATTTTATAACAACATTTCATTTGATGAAAATATAAATAAAACTTTTTAACCATTGATGACCAAAACTGAACTTTCAAGTCAGTCATTTTAAATTTCAAAATATGAATTGATACAAATCATTAAAAATTATATACATCACAAACATATTCATCCAAATATATTTGATTAAAAAGAACTGACAAGACTGATCTGTTTAATTTTTTTTTTATTGAATTTTTCAATTTTTGAATAAGGTGGTGCGTATCCTGATCAAATTATGGATAAACTGTCCAAAGTTCATGTGCTCAGTCATTTTCAAGAACCAATGTGTAGTAGGCAAAAATCTTTGTCTACATCCGAGAAGGAGATAATCCCAGCATGTGCCACATTTGGAAGGTGCCTTAAAATTATTCCATGGGTTAATTGGAAACCAATGGCTGTGCTGTCACAAATCACCATGACTGAAGGTCTGAGCATGCTGGCCTTGTTCAAAAAGATTGCCAGATTATGCATTTTCTCAGAAACTATAACTAAGGTCCACTCAACAAAGTTGCAATGTAAACTGCAGGTGGACTGCGGGTTAAACGGGTGTCTGTAATATGGATTTGCTAGCCAATCTGGTAGACAGATGTGCTTGGAAACAAGTAGTTGGCCAGTGTGTGTGCACACACACACATATATATATATATATATATATATATATATATATATATATATATATATATCTATCTCTTCTTTGTATATTTGCTCCTTAAGTTATAATTCAATAAGTGGTTAGCATTTATTTAAGTCTGAAATATTTACTGGTTGTGATTTCTCAATGTCTATGCCATTGTCTGTGGATGTATGTATGTGTATATATCGGTGTCTATGTGTATGTAGAGTGTATTCACATTTAACTGTGTGTGTGTATAAGTGTTAGTTTCCACGTCTCCTTTTTTTCATAAAGGGCTGTAGAGATGTTCATGTACTCCCCCCACCTCTCCTTTTTTTTTTTTTTTTTTTAGTGTGTGTGTGTGTGTGTGTGTGTGTGTGTGTGTATCTAATTATGTCTGTATCTATAAAAAGAATACCCGCTCGGCCCGGTGGCTAGGATCAAAGTGTAGTATCTGCGCTTTGTGAGCTGCCGGGTCGGGTGTCTGTCGAACTCTCTGCTTGCAGAGGGGAACCTGGACGAAGCTCCGCCGAAGGGTGAGGTTTCGTTCGGGGAGGTTGACGGAACTAGCCCGCTTGGACGGGTTTAGATGGGTTTTATTTTTGGCTGGGCCTACGGGCTCAGACATACCCACATTAAAAAGGCCTTGTGCCACATTCAATTCCTGTGGGTGAATTGATAAATACCATCTAATTATGTCTGGGTGCTTATGTATTATAATCTGATTGTGTTTTTGTTGTGTCACGCGTGAGTTTAAGACCATATTCACAAACTTTAAAATAAAAACGGAAAAGAAAGGGAAAAAGAAAAAAATATATATACATGTATTATCAAATGACCGGATGTATTGTAGTGTCTTGTCTTGTCGAATGTAATTTCAATGAAGAAATGAATTGAATAAACATATATATTTTTTCTTTTCTCAATTTTGTAGTTTTTAAACTTAATAGTGATTAAATTTGGATTTTAAAAATTGCCAGTTTTTAATTTTAATATTAAATTTTATCATATAAATTTATAATTATTAGTTAGTATAAATTATTTTTAATATTACACGTATTTAAAGATCTGAATAGCTATTATAGCAGGATTTCGTTGTCAAGCTTTTGAATCTTTCTATACTTCGTTTTTTTTGATTGGCTATTCTAGCTTTTGTAACAATGTTTCCCCCCTAGTGTAGGATCGTTAATTAATCTGAAACTTTTAAAACCATTTATTTTCTTTTTCAACATCATCACTTGATAAGACACAGAGTGTGTTGAAACAAAATGGCTATTTTTGCAGTGATTTTATAACATAATTATGTTATTTTTTTATAAAAATAATTATATATATATATATATATATATATAGCAAGTGTAAATGGATATAAATCCGACAGAATGAAGAAATTTTGAAAAAACAAACAAAAATCCTTAAATGTAGTTAAATGAAAGAAAATTTAGACGTCTGAAAATTTAGCTGTTTATTTTAAAAATTTTCAAGTTATCTGTTCATCAAAGATTGTGTTTTTATGTCCAATATGACCGTCATATTGAACTGAATTGTATTTTTCATGAATATTGTCTGAAAAAGGTTTAATAAACATTTAAACGTTTTCACGTTATATTTCTTTTCATTTAACTACATTTAAGGATTTTTGTTTGTTTTTTTCAAAATTTCTTCATATATATATATATATATATATATATATATATATATATATATATATATATATATATATATATATATAGAGAGATAGATTAGAATCTGACAAAACAATAAGATAAAGAACAAGTAGGAAACAGATCTTAATCTAACATGTTTCACTTTAGTAAAGCTTTGTCCAAGATCAGGATAGAAAGGATAAAAAGCAAAGAGATGCAGATTAATGGTATGTTGTGTTTCACTATTTCTTATTGGTTAGATACATGTTATGTGTAGTGAAGTAACAGATGATATTCAAATAAGTGTAAGAAAACTTTCTGGAAGCTAAAGTGTGTTAAAGTTAGTGAGACACTACAGGATGTTTTGAAAAATTTTTTTTTGGTTTGATCTTTTCATTAAAGTATATCTTGTGCATATTTTGTATACGTTGATTTTTATGTATTCAGAAGAGATAAGTTAGATTCATGGATAATGGATCTGTAGAAAAATGGTAACATAATGTAGTTTTTTTAAACGTCCGTTTATAGTTGGCAATATTGCTATAAATATATTTTTATAATATTTTCTCTTTAAAGGGTTATGTTCTTTTTTGATAAGGCTGGCACTGGTTAAATTAAAGTTATGTCCCATGTTGCTGTGGTGTAAGACAAGAGAATTTGAATGTTTATCTAAACGCAAATCTCTTTTGTGTTCCTGAATGCGGGTCTTTCAATCGTGTGAAGTCATCCCAATGTACATGTAATTACACTGTAGATATTTGATTTGATAAACTTCGGCATTTGAATTGTTATTTATTTTATTTTTCATCCTGATTATATCTCCAACTATCAATACTAATCAATATTAACATTGTATAGAGTAGAATAAATAAACTAAAAAAAACCCTGATAAAATTTTCTATCGATATCTGTACCAGCACATAACTAGTTTAATATAGATCTCATGTTACTTCTAACAATTTCAATTTTGTCCAGTGATGCCAGATTATCAGTTATCATATAATGCATGCATTAAATATGTACAAAAATTGAAGCATTTTTTTTTAAACTTAAAAATGGAATACATAGAGTTGAAATATATATATATATATATATATATATATATTTTGCAGGAGATTTTGGCACACACTTCATATTAAAGCTTGATTCATAACAATTGATTTCTTATTTCGTTATTATTTAAATAAACGTTGAATATTTTTACCAGATTTCATATTTTTTAATGCTCAATTACTTCTTGCAGTGCATGATGGAGTCACTACTACCCCATGAGCAAATGCTGAAATTTTATGTCTTAAAGATTTAGAACCGCAAGTGTTAGGAAAAAAAAAAAAATATTTGAAAGTATACACCAAGATAACTGACAAAGTCTAGATAAATATATTATTAGAAAAATAAGGTATATCTCAAATGAAATGGAAAAGATTACTTCCATACCAAGCAGGAATCAGGAAGTCTTACCTTTAAAATGATCATTTGGATCAGGGTTAGTCCTCATTAAATCAAGAAGACGGCTTTCCAAACCTGAAAACCTCATGCTGTCATAATTATTGCCTCGATCCTGTGAAGAAAAGAAAAAAAAAAAAAAAAAAAGAATATAACAGTTAAAGGTTTAAAACGCAATGGAAAATGTTTGCAATTACACACCCTATTTTTAGAAAAACATTTCAATATGAGGAGAAATAAACTGTTTTGGAGTACCAATGGTTGTTAGGTGAAGAAGAAAAAATATGTCAAACTTTTTTTTACGTAATGCCTATAATTTTTTAATGTTTCCACAATAAAATAGACTGCAATGTTATCTCCCTTGCACAACACCTGGAGACAGTCTTTGTTATTGAGGCAAAAAAAAAAAAAAAAAAAAAAAAAGTGAACTGTCCAAAGATATTTACAAAGCTAGATTAAGAGACTCCAAGAGTACAATAATTGTAAATGTATATATTTTTCTAACAAATTTAATTATATATATATATATATATATATATATATATATATATATATATATATATGTGTGTGTGTGTGTGTGTGTGTTATCACTTAACTTGATTTAACTTATCCTTAAAGTTAAAAATGTATATTTTATATTTTTAAATATATTTTTATTCTTTAATATTAAATTTTTAAAAATATATTCTTACTTAAATTTATAAATATGACTTATTTTTAATTTTTAAATACATCTTATTTTTAAGTATAATTTATCTTTGGAAGAGTATTTTTGAAGTAGGAACCTAACCTCATTATATAACTTTTTTCTAAAATTCCCTTTTCAATCCTCTTTTACTTTCAAATTAAACACTTAATATAACTCCAATTTAATGTCATAAGGTTAATATCTGGGTTTAATTTCATAAAACCACTTCCCTTTAAGGCTAAGACATTCCACCCTCCCCTGATCACCATCTGGTGCATTTTGTCTGACTGAAACATTGAAATGAATAAATTCTGTATCAATTTTTCAACGGCTGTCACAGTTAAATTTCTAATTCCAACACAACTCGGTCTATACACTGGGGTCGAATAAGAATGACAAAGTTTTTGCTGGTTGAAATAGATCTATCCCCCCATATGAGGTAATTTTGGATTTTTGTTGTGTAATAATAAATACATTGAACTCTTTTTGTGAATTAATTTTAATATTTTATATTACTAGGATCCACTTGGATTATATGCCAGCAGATTTATTACCTTTACTATGTGCATGTGTATATATATTTCAGAGCAGTATGAATCCATCCAGCTCTTATCTTAAATAACTTAAAAAAAAACTGTTTGACCAACACAAGGACTGACCAAAATTCATGTTAAAAAAAAAAAAAACAAAAAAAAAAAAAAAAACTACAGATAAACTGCATCAAGTCATTCATTTCTATAGTTAACAAGCATAAAATTTTTTTCTCCTGATGATGGCCATGCTGGCCAAAACCCGTCGGGGAATCTAACTGAAATAATAAAAATGAAGAAATATTAATATACAGCCCAGTGTGTATGAAGATTTTAATATTTTTTATTGTTCAAAACAGACACACATTATATATATATATATATATATATATATATATATTTGTGGGCGGTTTAACCGAAAAGCTGACTTTTCGGTTTCATCTTCACACTGTGAAACCGCATTGAAATTTTTTATGAAACCAAAGTTGTTCGTTTTTTTTTGTTTTTTTTTTTTTAATTGCTATCACTACTGAGTGACGATATCCTAAGAAACACTATTGAAAAAGACTTTCACATGTTAATAAAATTAAATTTTAAATCAACATTTTTTACCATTGTAAGAGTAAAAGATTGAAGAAAAATATTTGAAAAACATTTAATAATTGACTAGTTTCAGGAAATAAATGTGAAATCTATTTGTTTACAAAAGAAATGTAGAAGAAAAAAAAAAAAAAAAAACAATATTATATCTGAAATAAAATCTATTTGTTTCAGTTAAAAAAAAAAAAAAAAATTTTGTGATAAAAGTAATTCAACAAAATAGCAAGTAAAAAATAAAAAAAGTTGCCAATTTTTTCTTAATGTTAAATTTTATGACGTCAGATTTTTTGTAAGGGTTGTACATGTACATAATTGTTTTCTAGTAAAATGAACGAAGATCTTTTTTTTTATAAATAAATTTGTTTTTTAATCTAGGGAATGCACCTAAATTAGATATTAAGAATAATTGAAAAAATTCTTCATTTCACTTTTTGCAAGTCATTAAAAAAAAAAAAAAAAAAAAAAGTAAAAATTTTTTTTTTTTTGGCCTCTAGTGTTTGGTAGGTGTTTTACTGTTCTATCTATGAAATTCTTCTAAACAAGGAAAATTCATTTTATTTTTACAAATATCTTCATGGATTTATCTGGCAAATATACACTTAGGTAGGATCATATTGAAATGATTAAAATACTTTTTAATTTCAGTTTTAAAATGTATCCAAAAGAGAACAGGCGATACCCACAGATTTGGAAATGTACACGTTCTAAAAATGAAACTAAAAGCTTTTAATTATTTTTAGTATTTAATTTTAGGTGTATTTGCTAGAAAAACATGATAAATTTATTTTGGGGAAAAAAAATAACTCGTTGATTTTCCTCGTTTAGAAGAAATTTATTTTCAAAACCCCAATAACAGTTCACTGCCGTACCGGAAAAAAAATGATTGTATTTTTAATTATTCTAAACATGAGGGGGATTCATTTTTTGGCTTTTTAAAAGCCACACCATAAAGTAATTTCTGGAGAGCTATACCATTCTCTCTCAAAAATGTGTTAGCGTTGTCCAAAGACACAAATATAAATATTTTATGTGATGATTGTTAATATGGTAGTTATTTATAGTTAACAATTTATTCGAAAGTCTAATAAACTTTAATCTAAGTCATGAATTCTATGACTAAATTACCTTTAAAGCCTAAAAACTTACTTTAGGTGAACAATCCCTACTTTATTACCCACCCTGAATCACGGTTTTTGGGTTTTCAATTTCAGTGGTCATTAACACATGTCTATAAATTTTTACTACCCTTGCTTAAAACCAAATATTGACCCCTTACACACCAGTTAAACTTCCACAATGACAGACAATTCAAAAAACTCAAAAGTTGAATAGTATATGGGGAGTTTATTTTACATGACAAGACAGTAGTTTCAATAATTTGACAGTTCTTTTACCTCATATACAATCAGTTAATCTTTTTTTCTTTCTTTTTTATTTTTGCTGCTTACTTTTGAATTTTTGAAGGAATTCACTTCCATGGGTCAGAGAAGAAATGAACATCTTCCTGGTTGTAGTTTAAAGGTGTCTTCTAATCAAGTGTACAATTTCAAGAATATTGATAAGGAAAGATTGGTCACTTTGATTTTGCAAAACAAAGTAACGTGTAAAATATAGTCTTCAAAAAAATCATATTTTGCATTTTTGGCTGTTCAAAGCAAAATATCATTTTAACTCACTGTGACACTATTTAGCTATGGTAATTGGCTAACTAATTAACCATAGAAATTAAAAACAGGAAAGACTTAAGGCGAAAAAGAGCTATCTTGAAAGATAGACTGACATTAAAAGAGAGATTTTATTTTATTTACGAAAAGATACTTTTCACAAAAGACAGTAAACCAGTGGAAAAAGCCGTGTGTGTGTGTGGGGGGGTCTTGTCAAATTGATTAATATCATTGTGAGGGAATGCCTTGCCAAGGGAAACAGAATTCAGAAAGAAAAACAAAGCATTAAAGATATCGGGCCGACACATAGCGGTCATAAAAAAAAAATTTGGCTTGAGAAGATTGCGATACAGGTGAAGAGAAGCAATGTGGCAAATGTAAAACTTTGGCATTGTCTCAACATAGGCGAGGGGATTGTCATTATTACCTTATCAATGTGTTGATTCAGACGTGGAGACATTGAATAGCAATATGGTGTATGTAAACTTTTGGCATGAGACAGAAAATAGAGTGGAGAATTGAGATTTGGCGAGATAAAAGAATTTAATTTCTTAACAAGCCAAGGATTCCATTATAAAGCTAACTTAACAAAAGGACTAGATGGCAAACTTTGACAGTGATTAATGTTGTCGGTATAGAGGGCTGGCTAAGTGAATTTTGAGTGGCCAAAAAGATATGATAGAAATTTGTGAATTTTGTAAACAAAAATTCTAGATTATAATTTTAAGGAGGCCAGCTTAGCCACACCTGCACGACCAGATGCCATTGGTCGAGTGGTAGCATGGATGATAGGTGGAGGTGAATGGATGAGAAAGGTGGAGAAGTTGTTAATGCCCACTGATATCTCATCCCAATCTCTTCAAAGTGAGAGCGGAAGAATCTAGGAGTATAGCTCTCCTCCAACCTTCCCTCATGGACGAAATGGAAAGTGATTAATTTTACAAAAATGGGAAGTAATCAATTTTCCAGGCCTGACAAAGAAATTTCTTGTTGGGAATCAAGATTACCGAGAAACTCAGGCAGCGTCTGGCCCCGCACCGGGTTTTGGTCAGTACCCATATAAACAAACGTCCTGTGGTCATTCGGCAGTTGCAGTTAGAGTCAGAGCTAACCAGAATGTTGACTTGCAGAAGCTGACCGAGAGATTCCACGACCTCCGACTTCGCCTATCCTACCAATAGCAAGTTATACTGACGATCAAAGCCAAGCCAACACCTAAGAACTAAATTAGTTGACTTACGATATCAACTTGCTTGAAGCATAGAGGTGTCACATTTCGTAGGAGACGGGCTGGGAGAAAAACACACTCCTGTATATAACAGAAGGATAAAGTTAATTTGTTATTTCTTAACATACTTGAATCTCTTGGGTTTTTCTTTTATTTATTTTTTTTCCTTTGCGCTTGTGCGATACCACCTTCAATCCGGACTCAGCTTACACTACGGCCCGACGTCTGATTGATCTCGTCTACTTAAGATCAAAGTCACAACGTGGGTAGGTTAGACTCGAGATTGAAGCAGTTACTCCAGTAACCTGACATTGCAAGTGAGCTGGGAACGATAGAGCTGGTATTGAACCGGTACAGCTGGTGAAGCCGTTAACATTGACGACCAGAATTCGACCCTGGACGGGCCAGTGTCCCATATTGGTATCCTGACCAAGGGATTTTGCCGAGTAGTGACGACCACCGATCGACCGGGACACAGGCTGGTGGCAGCGACAAAGAGTCAACCCCAAAACGCCGGTAGAAGAAACCTTACAGTTTCGCGCCGCGACTGGGAGTTGACCACGGGCCAATGGCTGGGTGTCACACACTGTAAAAAAATAATTCAATGAATAAAAGCACATACAAATTACATATCTAGAAAGATTATTTTCTTTCCAGCCATATGAATATTTTTAAGATTGGACCAGAAATACATGAGAATTTGCAAGTTGAACTAAGTTGCAAATTTATCAATCTCAAACAAAATCAGATATCAACTGGAAATGCTATCATTACACAAGAAAATGAATCCTTAGAAAGCAAAAATACTAAATTAAAAACTGAAAAACCAAATTAAAACTGCGGTATCAAAGAAAGAAAAAAAAAAAAAAAAAAAAAAAAAAAAGAAACTGATACCAAAACATAAATTGCCAAACTGACCAACTCTAACATACATGGCGTCTAAAAAGTTTTGCTCAATTTTTATTTTATTATTACAGTTTGGTCTTTGAGGCTTCTGGAACAATGGCTTTTAGACTGAATCAGAATCGGCAAATTGCTGCTATCCAACATTACTATCATTGTGGCTCAAATGCAGCTGAGGAAACTTGTTGCCTCAGTGAAGAATTTCATATTCATGCAGTTCAGGCCAGTAACATTAAGTCACTCGTTAACAAGTTTAAAGCAACAGGCTCTGTAAATGATGCACCCAGAGCTGGACGACCTGCTTCTGCAACATCTGATGAAAAAGGTGAGCAGTTGAAAGCTATTCTAATTGACAGTCTGCAGAAATCTGTTCAGTACCTATCTTGTGAACTTGAAATCAGTTGCCAAAGCGGTCATAACTTGTGCAAAACGAATTTAAAGCCCTACATTCCTTGTCTGTTCCATGCTCTGTACGATAGTGATGCTGATCACAGGCTTGAGTTTTTGGAGAGGTTCCTTGCCTTGAGGTGCAGTGACAAAACTTTACAGGATAAGATATGGTGGTCAGATATAGTGAGCTTTAAATCAAGCAACCACATTAACTAACATAATTGCTTGTATTGGAGTCATGAAAATCCACCTGTGGTTTTGGAGAAGGAAGTTAACCTCTCAGGAGTAACTGTCTAGGCTGTGATTTCAAGCAATAGGATTACTGGCCATTCTTCCTTGAAACACTGGTCAGTAGAGAAACGGTACCTCAACAGGCTTCAAACGTACTTCTTTTCTCAAATACAACAACAAAGAGACATGCACCTTCAACAGGATGGGACTCTGCCCCACTATGCGCATTGTGTTCTTGAATGGGTTGACATCTATTTTAATGGCAGATGGATTGGTCGGTATGGACTAATCAAATGGCCACTGTGTTCACCCAATTTAACCCTAACAAATTTCTTCTTGTGGGATGTTCTTAAAGGAATGGCATACAAAGAGAAACTGCAAACTATTCCTGACCTTCGAGTTATTAATGAAAAATTTGCCACAATTGATGTGAAACTGTGCCAAAAGGTTTGTCACAGTGTTGCTTTGTATTTGCTTTCTTGTACTGAGCAAACTGGAGAACAAATCAAACCATTTTGTTCGTAGTTATCATTTTTCTATACAATAAAATGAACTGAAAAACCTACAATAGTTTTCAATATAAAAATCAGGCAAAATCTTTTGAACACTGTATATATATAACAATTAATACAAATAAAATTTGACACTGAGCTGCTTGTTGTTACAATTAACACCTTGACTAGTGTTTCATATATGAACATTTTATTATTATTATATACATATATATGTGTGTGTGTGTGTGTGTGTGTGTGTGTGTGTGTGTGTGTAAGAACAAATTGATCTTAGCTGACATGTTTCCTCCTGATGGGCTTGATCAAAGCAAATGTAAAGATTTTATTTTGCAACAAGTATTTGTAAACAAAGTAAAAATATTAGTTCAACATTTTAAATTTAAGTGACACTCATAAATATTCACCAGGTTAACTGACAAGTCTAGGTAAATTATTGTTGTAGCATACCTACAGATGATAATGGGTATGTTCCTATTCACAAAAATACAGTAGTAAATACTGTATGTTGGTCAGCAGTTGGAAATTCATTGTGGAATTCACTTGACTCACTTTTAGCAGTTGACTACTACTTCTACACGCTGCTGGCAAATCTTATATATGTTGTTCGCGTCTTAAGTATTATCGTTCATTACCAACCTTTGTTTGATTATTCTAGTCAGTAACCTTCCCTAGGTTACATCTTGGAAATGAGGACTAACCAAAATTACAACAATTATGAAGGATGCTAAGTGAAATAATAGGTTATGAACTTGTTTCTTTTAATTTTTTAACAGCTCTACAGCAGTCACATATGTTGGCCTGGGAAAGGAGTATTTCTTTCAGGAATGAAGAAATTTGGAAAAAAAACATTCTAGGGTGCAGATTTATATTTCGATAAAATTTGATAGCAGCAGTCTCGAGAATTTTCTGTCTAAGTAAATTACTTTCTTAAGAAGAGTGGGAAGGCTTGGATTGAGGAATCAGAGAGCAGAGTTCGAATTCCAGTCAAATCCATTACATTCACTTACCTGCTAATACCCTTGGGAAAGGTATGAATCCTCTTCTCCCCCCAGCTATGGGTAAATAGCAGGACAGACCATGTTCTATAGCCTTGGATGGCAACTGGTCTACTGCAGGAAAAAATCTGCCTCGTCAGTCATGTATCAAAAGATACATGATCGTCTAAGTGTGTATCACTTCATTGCTTAACTTCAGTGATTGTATGGGAACCATGTTAAGCCTAGAAGTGGTTTTATCACACTCTCAAATGTTTGTTTGATAGACCAGCAGATGGTTCCTTTTGAAGTCTGAGTATTTAAAAGAATAAAAGAAAAACGGTTATAATGTGATATTATGGACACCGAGATAAAAAAGGGAAGAGGTGGTTTTATCTCAATCTCAGGTGTTTTTGCTTAATCGACCAGCCGATGGTTCCTTTTGAAGTCTGATTATTTAAAAGAATATGGTTATAATGTGATATTATAGACACCCACATAGAAAGAGAAGAGGCGGTTTTATCTCGAACTCGTGTTTCTGTTTGATAGACGAGCAGTTCAATCTTCAAAATGGCATCCACTTTGATCAAGAGGGAATGGCAACTAAAGGAGTCCGTATGTGTTTTTGGAGATCAAGTAGCAACAAAATTGGAAATAGGGTATATCCGGGTGCTGGTCTATATTAAGTCATGCTTGAGACCAAGAAATGTTCTGGTCTGCCCTTAACAAGAGAGAGATTTGCCCATTGTGTAGCTCCTGTGCTGTCCACTTGTATTGCCACCACTAAATTTGGGCATGTAGACGAGTGAAGAGCTGAGCTGTTAGACCAACAAAACAGAAATTGACCCAAGTATCATCTACCCACCCAGACAAGGTGTTATTCCAGTCATGCCAACTTCAAAGTTTTCTGAGCACATTGTTGTAATGCCTTCATTCTTCAGGTCTATTGGCTTCTCTGCTACTACTTCTCCACCTTTTCGTATTTATGTTTGGCTTGGTGTAATTTGATATCTTTGTGCGAGGGTGTGATTTTTTTTTCACTTAATGGGTGTTTTATTATCTGTTTTTATCTTCAGGTTTTTTGTTGTTTCTTAAGTGCTTTAAGGTTTCTTGGTGATTGTTTGCTTTGTATTGTGCTAATCTCTTTTGACCATGTTTATGTATATGCTCACTTGTTTTATGTAGGAGTGACCACTTTTTACCATGTTCAGCTGACCTTTTTTTTTTTTTTTTTTTACTGTGTTAGTGCATATATATATATATATATATATATATATATATATATATATGATTTTTTTTTTTTTTACTTATTTTTAGATCATGTTTAGATGTTTGTGGTACATGTTTATGCTTACGCGTCTATGCTGTTTTTTTTTGTTGTTAATAGTGTGTATGTATATTCTTTTGTGAGCTACACCACTTAAGAAACAGCAAAAACGTAAAGATAAAAACAAATACAACACCCATTAAGTAAAAAAAAAAATTAAAAAAATAAAATACCCCCTAAAAAAAAAAAAAAAAAAAAAAAAAAATCACTCACACAAAGATATCAAATTACACCAAACTACACACAAATACAAAAAGGTAGAGAAGTAGCAGTAGAGAAACCAATAGCCCTGAAGAGTGAATACATTACAACAATGTACTCATGAAACTTCAATGTTGGCATGACTGAAATAACACTACTCAATTAAATGACAAGTTTCTACACATTAATTCTATTAATGTTTTATCCTATGATATCAAGCACTAAGGCAAAAACCTGTCTTCCTAAAATACCTTTCCACCAGTAAACTATGGAAAAAGAACCAGCAATTTTCGCACCCAACACTCTTACAATACTCTCTCATATATATATGGTGTACTCTCCTGTCATATTTGACATATGAAGGTCCAGCAACTCAGTTCCTAGGAACTGACAGCCAGGCACCAGCACATATGATTTGATCATAGTGTTGAAGGCTTTATGCAGAATCAACCACACTTTTTGAAGGGACAAATACAGAGACCTGGTGTACTACATGCCACAAGGTCACCAAACAACCCTATGCAGATTTTGAATTTAGAGTTGTCCTTCTCCTAGACCAGTTGCCACCCAAGGCTATAGAACCAAGTCTGTCCTGCTATTTAGCTGGAAGGAGGGGGAAGAGGATTAATATGTTTCCCAAGGCTATAAGCATATAATATGGGAAACAAGGTTCACTTTCTTATTTCTCAATGTGGTGTTGAGCAACAGCAGGCCCTTTCCGCATCTTTCAGTGCACACAGATGATGGGCAATCACTGACTGGTTGATAGAACGTTTGGAGAAGAGTTGCTTTGTATGTTTACAATGTGAGGCTATACCTTGCCCAAAAGTAACAAGGAATCTTGTTGAAGCAAGGACACTTAATTTAGATAGCTAATTACATTTGTTGTTTTATATAAGTATATCACTAACAGCTGAAACAATGGCAGTAGCCATTAAAAAAAGAAAGAAAAAGAAAGCCTTTATGAGATGATAACCTTGAGGTCAAACAGTTTAGAGCTATACCTCATCACCAGACTATATAGTCTTTGACAAAAGAAGAAACATACTGATGTAGACTATTCTAAAATTTGGAACCTCAGTATTTTTCCGCCGTTGTCATATCAAGTTTAGTTTTGCTAAGACTGAGCAGATAAATTCTTGCCATTAAGTGTTGATACAAAAATTCTTGCGAACCATTTTTTTTTGACATTTTGCACACAGAGCTTCATTTTAACTTTTCTTGCATCAATAGGGAAAACTTATATTTTTCCTCAAAGGCAACCATTAACTAAATTATACAGATTTTTTCTTTTTGTAATTGACAGGGCAGATGATGATGTTCCAAATCTAATAACTTTCTAATCCATAATATTCCCTTCAAAATGTGTGTGTATATATATATATATATATATATATATATATATATATATATAAAAATGAAGTGGTTTTCAAATTTAAATGGGTTTACAGTTTCAGAATTGTAGCAGCATTCATTACCCATAAGCAAACTGGTAACCTTTTTATCAATTTTGTAAGTGGTTATTCTCCACCCTAGAATCCCATTGCTGCAGACAAAATGTTGCAAGCACTCTTACTACTATTGCTATTGCCAATGAAAGTGTTCAGCCAAACTACATTCTTTAGTTCCATCAGTTCTAACATTCACAACTAAGGCCCACCATACCATGCACACTGTAGTGAACCACCATTATTCCCTTTGTATTTTCATTGATGGAATACAAGTTACACTCAAGCAGCTTCATCCTGGGTAAGACGATAAACTACGTCCAACAGCAAGGCCCCTGGTCAGGAGGTTTTGAGGAGCATGGAACCACCTCTTAATTGCTGGTATTCTCTGATCCACCCTGACCAGTGGTGGTAGCACCTGTTAGGGTCCCAGCTACAGGTAAATAGTAAACCCCCAAACTGGGGTCAAAACACTATGAAAGCGTAAAAATTGGTTTTTGTTTGTTTTGTTTTACAGCATATCATCCTCAATGGGTTATTTACTGCTAATATTTTTTTCTTTGTTTTCCTCAAAAAATGTATTGCTGGTAATAATTTTTTTTACAAAACATTTCTGGTATTAAACCCTATTTTGACACTTTCATAGTGTTTTGACTTGACTTTGGGTGTTAACTATTTGCCCATAGCTGGGACCCTAACAGGTGCTACCACCCCGGGTCAGAGTGGATCTTGGAACATAAGCAATTAAGAGGTGGTTCCATGCTCCTCAAAGCCTCCTGATCAGAGGACTACCGGTAATAAAAATCTTGTCGGCATTAAATAGCTTGATATGCCATAAAACAAAAACCAATCGAGCAGCTTCTTCCCACAAACACCTACTTTTTGGAACCAAATCCCAAGAGGATGCTTCCCTGATCACTACAATCTTAACCTGTTCAAGCCTAAGGTTAGCCATTCATTATCTTCCCCACATATCATAAGGTGTGACACATTTTAATCTATATAACCTGCTACCACAAGTGGCTGTTGGCCCTTGCATAGGGTGAACACACTATATAAATAAAAGAGAAGAGAGGGAAAGAGAAAAGATTTTTGTAAGCTGCCAATAACTCCCTTGGAAAACCTGAAATTACTTTGAGGGTCATTACTGTCGTGAATAAAATTAATGGTCTCTAAACTAATTACTGACATTGAAAAGAAGTAGAAATTCATGAACATATGAATTTTTATTTTTATTTTTTTTTAAACCTAAGACATGTCTTATTCAGAAAATCATTAATTATTTAGAATACTATATTAAAGTTTTGTGTATTGTCTTAACCATCACCTGAATTCTGATTGGATACAAAAAATAATAGTCCCACCAGCTTACAAGATGTCGTGGCTCAAAGAAGGGTAGACAAAGTTCACTACAAAAAAATTTTATGGGTTTCCTGTTTAAATTTTCTGAGGAATCTTAATTCTTAAGTTAATGATTGAAGAAACTCATGGCAAGTTCTACGACAATAAAACATCAGTAGAAATTCATCTATCACACCATTAAATATTTGAGCTTAAACTTTAATATTGCAATAACAATCATAAATATGAATGCTGTTTGTTATTTTAAGAAGTGGGTACAAATGAAACGATTTGAAATTGACAACTTTTTCCGTTTCACTGAAACGGACATTAAACTTCCTTCCCTTCTTTCTTTCTCTCACTAAAATCAAGTAGTGTCTTTTTCCCCCCTTTTCACACAATCAAAATGGAACAGTCCATTATTTATGAGGTGTTGGCAGACGTTAAACCCATTTATCTTCCTTTATTTTTCTTTCTTTCTAGCTAAATCCCCAATTTACAAACATTTTGAAATTAAAATTCAGCAGACGAGGTTATTTTATTTATGGAAACTGGATTTTTGGTGATTGCCTTACTCAGTTTTCATCGTTTGATACCGAGTCTGAAAAATGGTGCCTGTTATCAGTCATTGTCCATTCTCGGTCCTTTGGCTGAGCTCAAAGTGTAGTATCTGTCCTTATCAGCTTAATCTGAATCACTCTCTCCATTTCTATCTTCCCTTCTTTCATTTTCTCACTGAAACCAAGCAATGTCTTTTTTCCCCTCTTTCCACATGAGCGCAACTCAGAATAGTCCATTATTTATAAGGTATTGGCAAGGTGTAACGGCGCGTGATGAAACAAAGGGAATGACAAGCACAAATATAATAGGATGCTAGGATACATGTAGATGCATGAATATACAGAGCAATAAATGAGCATATGGTAAATGGTGACAATGAAAAGAGTTCGACTCAACCAAGTAAAGATTCCCGCCTCTGATATACGGATCCTGTCAGAATTAGGGCTGTGAGTCAGGCCAAGAGCATTTTACTAGGTACTCATATGCACAAAGAGGTACGTATTATTGGGATAGAATGTCAGACAATTTCATCTTTTTAGACAATTACAAGGCAATACTTATGACCTCTTTTGATTTGCCTTGGACTATTACTTTTGTTTTTCTTTATTGAGAGGGGGGGGGCTTATATTTGTGGCCTTGTAGCAAACAAAATTCAGAAAACAACTATACACAAAGAGGTGGGGGAGTAATATTCTAAATAGATTCAAGTTTTTTTTGTTTTGTTTTTTTTTTTTTTAACCATACTCACCACAGGTAAATATTCCATACGTCCTGATTCAGTCCACAACACCACATTATCTGACATTTCTCTCGGAATGTTCTGCAGAGAAAAAACAAAGAGTGAGGGGGAAAAAAAAAGAAAGAAAAAAAAATTTTTGTTTTTTTTTTTTTATTTAAAAAATTTTTTTTCTTTTTAGAAATCGACAAACATAAGTAGTGAATATAAATTATGTAAATCTTTTAGATAATTTATCTTTACATTTTAGACTAATATCACTATCTTTAATTGTTATTCTCACAATGTTTCAGCTACTGTGCACTCCAACCTTTCCCAGGTGTCTGTTGAACCAGGTAAAATTTGTGAAATTTTGAAATGAACCCTTTATTTAATCTGGGGGTGGTGGTGGCAGAGACTGTTCTCTTTCTAGTACAGTTCAGATATTATTATTATCCCCGTAAATAATAATTCCATACCCCAGAAATTCAGACAGGTTAACATACTACTGGCTTCCAAGCCTAAACTTATGAACTACAGCAGATCCAAGTTTTGACTTGTTTATTTTCATTTTAATTTTTAGTTACTTTTCATCATACTCTTCATTCAGGCCATCAATCTTAGATCTGGAGTTGACAACCCTTAATGAAATTCAACTCGTGTCTAATTTGCCTCAGAACATGGTTAAATGCATCAGTTGCCTTGAATTTTAAGCTTTCACAACATTACTGAAGATCAAATCTGACCTCTCAACCAATCACTGGATTCTATGATCAGTATCAATACTAGATTTGATATTAGACTAGTATCATATTTTATTTATTTTTTAATTAAGTGATGTGTTCACTTACTGTCCAGTTTATTGTCTTCTTTTACTGATACAAGATTTGAACATTTTAAAAGCCTACATCAATACATTTCCTAAGACTATCTATAGTTAGAAGTTGAAAGAAGTCCTGACACTATTTCTTGAAGACGTTATATTTTCTCTAAACTTCCTTCAGCCATCCTATACGATGACTTCCTTCAACGCTCAGCCGAGAGCCCTGCTTCAACCAGGAATTGTTTGGTTGTACACGTCTAAACAACTGTAGCTGGGTGGTCAGCAAGAAAAGAGGTGTACACAGATGTTCAGACTGTGATAGCTTGCTAATTCTGTTAACAGGCTTGACACTATATATATATATATATATATATATATATATATATATATATATATATATATATATAAAAAAAAAAAGAACAGTAAGATATATAATCCGGTGTTCTTATAGATATTTTTATAAAATAGTGCTCAATGTAAATTTATATATTAAAAAGAAGAGAAGAGAGTGCAAAACGTTTTTGGTTGTAATGTGGATTTTTTTTTTTTTTTAAATTTTCAATTCAAGACATTCGGATTTCTAACACAAAAACAGAATGTCTCGTACCGAGAATATTTAACATTGAAAAACAAGGAAAAAATTAATTATTTTTAATAATATGTGGAAATCTCTGCTTTTACCTGAAGACGGTCGTGAGACAAGAAACACATAGTAAAATTATGGAAAATAAAGCATAATATTTATAAAAAAAAAAAAAAAAAAAAAAAAAAAATCCACATTACAACCAAAAATGTTTGCAGCACCTCTCTTCGCTTCTTTTTAATATACATACTTTTCTCTCGTTGGAACCACTACAACCTCTCTTATATATATATATATATATATATATAATTATACACACAGAGTGTGCAATGGATAAATTGTTGTCTAAATCACATAAAAATGAAAATTAATACTGACATCTCGTTTCAACAGATATATTTACTAAAATTACACAAAAATAACTTTAAACACGAGTAAAATCATTCAATAAAAATTGCCATTGGCTTCAACTACGGCTTTGAGATGATTTCAGAATCTCCTGCAACTCTTCTGGATGGTCTCCTTGTTTAAGTTTGTGAATGTTGCCATAATCCTTGCCTTTAGTTCATCTTTGGTATTATAAAGAGTTTTGTTGGTCCCTTTGCTCAGCTGTGCCCCACACATAATCAAGGGGGTTGCAGCCTGGGGAATTAGGTGAGCAGATGTAAGGGGTAATATGGTCACAGAAATTGTCTGACAGCCATGACTGGGTTCTCCTGCTTGTGTAGCATGGTGCAGAGTCCTGTTGCCAGGCATAGAATCTTCCAGCAACCACCCTCTTGATTTAGGGCAGCACTACCTCCTGAAGGCACTTGACGTAGGCCTTAGCGTTTAGTCTGAGGCTCTCACCAACAAAAGCAGGAGTTCTTTTCTTATCAAAACAATCAGAGTGAGTTTACCAAACTGCCATAACTTTGTAATCACCATTACACTCATCCAACTCTTTCCAAATCCTCTGCACCATCCTAAGAGTGACACCCAAGCACTCTGAAATATTTGTAGTGGAGCTTCCAGTGAGAATGCCAAACAGCACAGCATACTGCTTCCAAATTTCTGGCAGAGTGAATTGCATCATGGTGCTTTTTCTCACAGACAGTGCCCAACTGATACTACTAGACTGTGCAGTTGACAAAATCAACACATGTACAAAAATAAGAATAAAATGGTGACAATTTACTAATCGGCATAACCTGATTTTTGACGCAGGTCGGCACTCATCTACATAAGCACTCACAAGTCTACCTTATGCTTTGGAGCCATAATGAAGAGCAAAAAGTTTAAAAAAACAAAAAAAAAAAAAACAAAAAAACAAACAACACTACACAAATGAGAGATAGTGAATGTAGCACAATCCAATATGACACAGCTGGTAGAAAAACAGTTGCTGTCTTCCTCATATAGCACCTTATGACAACATATTATATTATGGGAGATGGCGCTGTAACCACGAAACACTATGTCAGTTCTGATATAACCCAAGGACCTTGTGTGTGTGTGTGTGTGTGTGTGTGTGTGTGCTGGAGAATTTTTATCATCAGAATCTATCTTGCATATTTATAAGCCTACCATTCATCCTTTCTTTGAATGCTGTTGCCACATTTGGTAGAGTGCTCCTGCTATATATTTAGAGATTCTTGATAAAATCCAAAAAGGAATCTGCAATATTCCTAGTCTTGACCTGGCATCTTGCCCTCGATCACTTTCCAACCTTTCCCTGCACCTTTTCCATAAATACTTTCATGGAAGTTGTTCTGATGTACTTTCCACTATGGTATCTAGACTTTGATTTTAAGTGCAGTACTGGATTGGCAGCAAGGTCTCATCAATTCAAAGTTGAAATGGCTAGATGTAACCATAAATTCTATGCTAACAGTTTCTTCTATTACACTTTTCACGTGTGAAGCTTTTTCCAGCTTCTTGCTTTCCAGTCAACTTTCATCAAAAATTTAAATGCAATGCCAATCATTATCTGCTTAATTCTTGTTCTTTTATTGTCCTCTCTCCTTAATAGAGAATATGAGAAAAAGAGTCTTAGTAGCTTTATTGCCTTGTTTGGAAGAGGGGGAGATCTAAAAAAAAAAAAAAAAAAAAAAAAAAAAATAAATCTACTTGATCATGCATAACAATTAATTGGTTTAACATTTTCCTTCCCCATAGGTTTGGACATTTTGGAAGCATACTTCACTGCATTTCTTTAAACAATCTCATGTCAGATCTTGTTGGCCCAGAATGGCAAACTACTGGTCAGAAGAATCTGTAGACCTAGAATTCTAACAGTGATGGATTACTTTTGTTTACACTTTTGATATAAGACGAAAAAAAAAAAAAAAAAAACATGAGAACAACTTCAAAATTCAACAAGCCTCCTCCGACCAGATTCTTTAGAGAGGTAAACCAGGATGTACATCCTTTTTTCCTCACTTCCCTCAAAAGAAACTGTGCTACAACTACTGTCTCTCATAATAAAGAGAAAAAGAAATGGTCTATTGGTGATGTAATCTATGATGTAGCAATGGAGTTTGAAGATTTAGAGATGACACTAAACAACACCTCTCTCCAAATTTTCTCCAGCTGTGACTTCCTTTGTTTTGTTGCACATGTCCAAACGATTGCCACTAGAGAGGCTAGCAACAAATCAAGAAAAAGGATGCCTAGATATTTTATACTAAAATCGTTATGTAGCCAAGGTTCGTCTGGCTGATTACAAAAGTCTGCCAAGAGAAAAAAAACCTATCTCATTGACACTCTTAAAGGAAAAGTTCATTCATAATGTGAAGTGAATTTTTAGCAATGTTCTAGAATACAAATATCTAACACAGAGAGCCATTGTTTCAAGCAGTACCTTCCCGATGAACCGAAAGGTGTCAGGAGTAAACCCTGATGTCTGTGGCAACATGCCGATATAACTGGGCAAGTCACCCCCAACAAAAAAAAAAAAAAAAAAAAAATTATTTCTGTAAAAGGATGTATTGTATTGTTCTATGTACCTATTGTTCTATTACACCATATCTATTGTTTTATTTTGCCTTGTATGTTAAGTACATTTTGTGTCATTCATAGCTTTCATGCATTTCTCTTTAGTCCTTAGAATGTATTGGTGGTACCATCAGAAGTAGCAACAAGTTTAAGACATGTGCTGCCTATACTGTTTATCCTTTAAATTCTACCTCCAAATGATTGCATCGTTGGCATACAATGTTTTATTTTCTTTCTATTAAGTGTTGGATTCTAATATCCCATTATTATTTAAACATTTGTTGAATGTAAGCACTTTGTGTACATATTTTGCCAGCTGTACTTTGTCATGTGGAACCCTTTTTACCACATGTTAAGTCTGTCCACACACTGTATCATATTTTAACTTCATCTAACTTGTTTTCAGTAGACTACTTAATTATTGTAGACTTCCTGTCAGCAAACTCCCTCTCTGACCCTTTCTGACTTAGACCCTTGGTCTCCCAGTTCTGTTCAGCCTTCTGCCACGCAGTCATTTTTCTTCTTTCTATCTTGTTTTTTTTCTAACTAGTGTCACATTTGTTTTTTTTGTTTTTTGTTTTTTTTTCTAGTTTCGCTTGTTTGTCTTTCAATAAACCTGCATGATGAATAGAACGGTCTTCAGAGATTTTATTGCGATGAAGTGTTTATCTGACTGTTTGGAGGTACCAATGCATATCAGTAGACACTACAAAAGTTAATCAG